AAAATAAATAACTAAAACGAAGAAGAAAAAAAAGCCGCAAATTAAGCTATTCCGAGAAATACTTACAATTCGCACTTTATAAACTTCTTATCATGAAAAAACTAATGAATTTCGATATTTCAACATAATTAACGAATTGTATAGACCTAAACGTATTTCGGAAATATTTAATACTTTCTTTGTAACCAAGATACTATCCCTTGTCTGTAGGTTTTTTCTGTGCATGCAGTAGTATTATACAATCGTAAACAATTTTCTTTTAATTGTGCTACTTCGTTGTCTTTATAATAAACTTTTAATGATTGTTTCTCCATTTCATCGCTACTTTTGTTAATGTTAAAATGAAAAGAGAGGAGTAATTTATTTATAAAAATTGTCAAACAAAAATTTCACAGATTTAAATGGTGGGCAGAAACACTAGGTGAAAGGCTATTTAGTATGGGAATGAAAATAACCAAAAGAAATATGGTAGCAGAAGTAAGTATAAGTGAAATTTAATTCTTCTTGAAAACTGCAACTTTTTCAAAAAAATAAAAAGTGTAGGTGAAATTGTTTTAATTACATTAAGAGTCATGTTTTAGAGCTTTGAAGGTACAAGTTTTGTCGAAGAGGAAGGAATAAACATTTTAAGAGGCATTGCATTGAATATGAGGAAAATGATGGACGAAAAAGAAAGCGCTGTTCGAGTATGATTTCGAAATCGTCCTTCTGACTTTCGAATCATTATTTGATTTTTTTAGAGAATAATGGAAGCAGCCGAGGCGTTGTCTCTCGATCGACAGTCTCCCATAGATTCCTCTAGTTCGTATGATTATTATAATGCCGATAATTTAACAAGTATTGAACCTAATGCTACTTTAGAACAAGAACTTCATGAAATACGAGCCAAGGTAGACATTCTATTCACAAAATATTAAAGGTGGACTCGCACAGCAAATATTCACCTATCACCAACGTATTTCATTTAATATTTGGGTTGTTCTTTTATTTGCCTATACATGACTGTAGGCCTTCGATTAAGGGCAGTACTCCACATTTAACGTTTATATTTTACTTTAGACAAAGCGCCATTGGCAGTACAAGGATTCAGAATTTATTGAACACCCGAACGATCATTTTAGAAGGCTTCCTATGGTAAAACATCCCAGTTTCGAAGATCCAGTCAATTTAAATTATAGTATAATACGAGTTTCAAAAAGTATATATTACAGAGGTAGAGTTCGTTGTTGAATACTAACATTTGAAATATAAAATAATATTTTAGAAAACGACGTCCTTAATGATGTACGATGGTCAGAACCTTTAGATCTGACATTTCAAGAGAATTACAAAAAGGATCCTACCTTAATATGGCAATATTTTGCCAGTACAACAGGCTTTATGAGGCTATATCCTGGTAATTTTTTAAAACAGTCCAAATAAAATAGAGACAAAAATACCATCAGTATAAACAAATGAAAATTCATTTGGAAATTAATCTCAATTTCAGCAGTGAAATGGTCTGAAGAACAATACGATCAAACCTATGACTATAGATTAAGAAATTGGTACACGGAAGCTATAACTTCTCCAAAAGATATCGTTATCCTTTTAGACAAATCGGGATCGATGCTTGGTGTACGTAGGGCAATGGCAAAACACATTATTAACAACATCTTAGACACCCTTGCAGATAACGACTATGTTAACATTTACACATTTACAAAATTTACTGATCCACTAGTTGATTGTTTTAATGACACGTTAATGCAGGTATTTAAAGGATAACAATCTTACTTTCTATATATATTTTTTTTTAATTTACAAGCAATTGAACTTATTGAGTTTACCTAAAGATTTAAAAATACCCACAATTTACGATTGACTTGTTATTGCTAAGAATTGATAAAGTTTCTCAATCAAAGTCCAAACATTGTGGAATTTTTACTTTTGGCCGGATTGAACTGGCCTATTTAAAATAAAAAGTTAAGAAAATAATTTAAACTTAGAAATTCGTGCATTTATTGATCAAAATTAGACCGGTTCATGATCAAAACTAACCCATTTCGGAATTAAACCAAATCTATCAGTCAATTTTAGGATTATAAGAAGTCTTTCCGCTGTAAAATTTCATTTCAGTCATGCAGAATATATACCTAAAATATGAATCTTTACTAATCAAAGAAAGTTTGGTTTCCAAATATTGTTGGTTAATAAAAGCTTGCAGATAAATGTATAAATTATCTATCAAATTAATGACGATCGGTCATTTATAAACTAATATTAACAATCGTTAGGCTCATGAAGAAAATCTAAGACTGCTTAGGGAAAGTTTGGGAAAATATGAAACGCAATTTGCTGGAAATATGACCATCGCATTTGAACGAGCTTTCAGTGTTCTGGAAAAGTACAGAGAGAAACGCTATGCAGAGAATTCGGGTACATTTTTTAAGAACCCAGTACAAAACAATTGATAAAACGTATTAATAATTACGAAATTTTTAGTTGGTACTAACTGTAATCAAGCTATAATGCTAATTACTGAGGGAATTGATTACGATTATAAGCCTGAGTTATTTGGAAGATACAACAACTTAAGGCCAAATGAGTACTACAGACCAGTTAGGGTCTTTACTTATTTAATCGGAACCGATCAAAATGATGCAAGAGAATTACAGTGGATTGCTTGCTCGAACATGGGTAAAATTTAAACAAATCACACTCTTTAATATTCATAGAGGTTAACAAAATATTTCAAGTGTAATTTGTCGTAAATTTCGAAAAAGCAAAGAAAGATAAACAACATCTGTTATAAAAACACTTTTCTTTAAGGATATTACGTTAACATCAATACTCCATCTGAAATTCGAGAGAAAGTCTTAAAATACGTCGATGTATTTTCCCGTCCATTAAATTTAAACAAAGTAGCAAAGCCAGATCCGGTTTGGACCGGCACTTACATTGATTTGGCCGACAGGAGACTTGCCAATTGGCTTTGGACAAAAGTTGAAGGAAACAGGCAAAGAGATATATTCTTGGACTATACAAAAAGGATGATAGAGAGAGAAGAATATATGTATACTTGGGAAGACAATATTTTACTCAAAAAAGATCATGTGTGTTGAAAGAAAATTCGTTGGACTATTGTACTATACTAAATAACGGTAATATTTTCTAGGATTACGAAATATATAGGACAAAACGGAATTACACTTATGTAACGACAGTATCATTACCCATTTACGATCTAAGACCTAATCGAGTAAGTTAGGTTGAGTTATTCAAAATTGAGTAAAACTGTGTACAGCAGTTTCTAATTTTTTAGTCAAAAGTACTAGGTGCTGCAGCTGTGGACATTCCAATTAGTTACATAAAGGCAAACCTTATGTCGTATAGGGTAAGACAATTGAAATGCAGATCCAGTGTCTGAGCTTCATTGTTTTGTTCTTTTCTTTGTACAGATTGGTGTTAATGGTTACGCCTTTATTGTCACCAATAACGGGCTTATAATGGTTCACCCTGACCATAGAACAGAGGTATTTACATTCAGTTCAAAATCTAGTTCTGGATTAAACAAAATTAAAAAAGATTACTTAGTTACTAGTTCAGAAATAAGAAATTAAATTCCATCCTTCACAGTTCGATGTTAATCTAAATTGTAAATCTTGTAAAGAAGTTTTGGTTCAATTTTTAAATTTGTTCTCATTTGCCTTTAAGAATTGATTATCAAAATTACACATTTCATATCTTGCATAAATGAAATATAATAGAACTACAGTCAGACACAAATTATTTGTTTAAAGTTCCAAAACATCCCTAAACCAACGTTTAACAGAGTGGATATTACTGAGGTTGAATTAATGGACGATCAAAGGGGCCCAAGAGATTTCCATTACGAATTATTAGAGGTATTTTTAATTCATTTTAACTAGATACAATAATCACATTCCTAAATATTACAGTTACGGAAAAATATCGTCATGAGGAACGAAGGTTATTCTACCCTTGATGTGAAAACACACATCGACGAAATGGTAAAATAATTAATATATATGCTAAGAAATATATAATACTTATACTGTGATAAGGATTTTTTAAAAACAGCCAATTAATAATGTTGCTATCATTTTTATTTAAAACTAGCAGCGAAACCCGGCGTTGCTCGGGTTAAAATACATGTTTAATGGTATCTAGAACTTTCTGGAACATTCCACATCGATATTAACAGTTGCACACACAATTTGGAACTTTCTAGATCATTCCAGAAATTTTTAGAGCTTTCTGGAACATTCCATATCGATTTTAACAATTGCACACACAATTTGGAACTTTCTAGATCATTCCAGAAATTTTTAGAACATTCTAGATCGATTGTAACAGTTGCACACATTCTGGAGTTTTCTGGATCATTTCAGAAACTTTTAGAACTTTCCAAAAGGTCTCATGAATTAGAAAAGGACAGATATATATTTTTTCACATTTTCGCCACCCACTTCCACCCACCGCTACCAAACTCCCTTACTTTCAGCAGAAGACCAAGGGGTATTTATCACCCCAACGTGAAGTTGATAGGAGTTGGTGGTGATAGAGAAAACCCTGTCTTTACATACGCACATTAGCATTCTAGATCGACTGTAACAGTTGCACACATTCTGGAGTTTTCTGGATCATTTCAGAAATTTTTAGAACTTTCCAAAAGGTCTTATAAGTTAGAAAAGAACAGATACATATTTTTTCACATTTTCGCCACCCACAACCACCCATTTCCATCCACCGCGACCAAACTCCCTTACTTTCAGCAGGAGATCAAGGGGTATTTACCACCCTAACTGGAAGTTGATAGGAGTTGGTGGTGATAGAGAAAACCCTGTCTTTACGTACGCACATTAGCATTTTATATATATATTTAGATTTNCAGATAAATGTATAAATTATCTATCAAATTAATGACGATCGGTCATTTATAAACTAATATTAACAATCGTTAGGCTCATGAAGAAAATCTAAGACTGCTTAGGGAAAGTTTGGGAAAATATGAAACGCAATTTGCTGGAAATATGACCATCGCATTTGAACGAGCTTTCAGTGTTCTGGAAAAGTACAGAGAGAAACGCTATGCAGAGAATTCGGGTACATTTTTTAAGAACCCAGTACAAAACAATTGATAAAACGTATTAATAATTACGAAATTTTTAGTTGGTACTAACTGTAATCAAGCTATAATGCTAATTACTGAGGGAATTGATTACGATTATAAGCCTGAGTTATTTGGAAGATACAACAACTTAAGGCCAAATGAGTACTACAGACCAGTTAGGGTCTTTACTTATTTAATCGGAACCGATCAAAATGATGCAAGAGAATTACAGTGGATTGCTTGCTCGAACATGGGTAAAATTTAAACAAATCACACTCTTTAATATTCATAGAGGTTAACAAAATATTTCAAGTGTAATTTGTCGTAAATTTCGAAAAAGCAAAGAAAGATAAACAACATCTGTTATAAAAACACTTTTCTTTAAGGATATTACGTTAACATCAATACTCCATCTGAAATTCGAGAGAAAGTCTTAAAATACGTCGATGTATTTTCCCGTCCATTAAATTTAAACAAAGTAGCAAAGCCAGATCCGGTTTGGACCGGCACTTACATTGATTTGGCCGACAGGAGACTTGCCAATTGGCTTTGGACAAAAGTTGAAGGAAACAGGCAAAGAGATATATTCTTGGACTATACAAAAAGGATGATAGAGAGAGAAGAATATATGTATACTTGGGAAGACAATATTTTACTCAAAAAAGATCATGTGTGTTGAAAGAAAATTCGTTGGACTATTGTACTATACTAAATAACGGTAATATTTTCTAGGATTACGAAATATATAGGACAAAACGGAATTACACTTATGTAACGACAGTATCATTACCCATTTACGATCTAAGACCTAATCGAGTAAGTTAGGTTGAGTTATTCAAAATTGAGTAAAACTGTGTACAGCAGTTTCTAATTTTTTAGTCAAAAGTACTAGGTGCTGCAGCTGTGGACATTCCAATTAGTTACATAAAGGCAAACCTTATGTCGTATAGGGTAAGACAATTGAAATGCAGATCCAGTGTCTGAGCTTCATTGTTTTGTTCTTTTCTTTGTACAGATTGGTGTTAATGGTTACGCCTTTATTGTCACCAATAACGGGCTTATAATGGTTCACCCTGACCATAGAACAGAGGTATTTACATTCAGTTCAAAATCTAGTTCTGGATTAAACAAAATTAAAAAAGATTACTTAGTTACTAGTTCAGAAATAAGAAATTAAATTCCATCCTTCACAGTTCGATGTTAATCTAAATTGTAAATCTTGTAAAGAAGTTTTGGTTCAATTTTTAAATTTGTTCTCATTTGCCTTTAAGAATTGATTATCAAAATTACACATTTCATATCTTGCATAAATGAAATATAATAGAACTACAGTCAGACACAAATTATTTGTTTAAAGTTCCAAAACATCCCTAAACCAACGTTTAACAGAGTGGATATTACTGAGGTTGAATTAATGGACGATCAAAGGGGCCCAAGAGATTTCCATTACGAATTATTAGAGGTATTTTTAATTCATTTTAACTAGATACAATAATCACATTCCTAAATATTACAGTTACGGAAAAATATCGTCATGAGGAACGAAGGTTATTCTACCCTTGATGTGAAAACACACATCGACGAAATGGTAAAATAATTAATATATATGCTAAGAAATATATAATACTTATACTGTGATAAGGATTTTTTAAAAACAGCCAATTAATAATGTTGCTATCATTTTTATTTAAAACTAGCAGCGAAACCCGGCGTTGCTCGGGTTAAAATACATGTTTAATGGTATCTAGAACTTTCTGGAACATTCCACATCGATATTAACAGTTGCACACACAATTTGGAACTTTCTAGATCATTCCAGAAATTTTTAGAGCTTTCTGGAACATTCCATATCGATTTTAACAATTGCACACACAATTTGGAACTTTCTAGATCATTCCAGAAATTTTTAGAACATTCTAGATCGATTGTAACAGTTGCACACATTCTGGAGTTTTCTGGATCATTTCAGAAACTTTTAGAACTTTCCAAAAGGTCTCATGAATTAGAAAAGGACAGATATATATTTTTTCACATTTTCGCCACCCACTTCCACCCACCGCTACCAAACTCCCTTACTTTCAGCAGAAGACCAAGGGGTATTTATCACCCCAACGTGAAGTTGATAGGAGTTGGTGGTGATAGAGAAAACCCTGTCTTTACATACGCACATTAGCATTTTATATATATAATTTAGATTTTAATAATCCCCTAAACGTCCGGCGATATTTTAATAATAATTTAAGTTTTAGTAGTTTCCAAAAGAATAAAACAGTAAATGTATCATGCAGAAATTGAATGCTGATTAACGCCATGATGCTAAAGAAGTTTCACATCGAAAACCAAATTTTTTTTCAGTAATTTTAAAAATGCGATAAATATATAAGTAAGAACTTAAAACTTTTAATGGTATCATCACTAAAAACTAATTGATTAAATAAATTTCCAACTTCATCAACACATTTTCCTTATCCTCTCAAATTTGATAAGCAGTTATTACAGTGCCGTTCCCGATTCCCACATATTTTATTATTTCTTTTAGAAAAGAGTTATATTTAGCACTCGCCATTATTTTTATACTGGAGTTGGTCCATTCAGCGTCGTTATTGCCATACCAGATAAATACGGACTCAATAGAATCGAGTACAAAGAAAACGTTTTGCATAACATTGAGAAAAAGATTACCGGGTTATCAGCAACAACCAATTGGACAATTCATCCTGAATGGTACGTTTTTACATACACATGGTTTTGTCGAAATTTATTTACGGAGATCAATTTTACTTGCCAAAGGTTGTACTGCAAAAGTTACAGTGACACGGTTGTTTTTGAGAATCCAGAAGAAGAATTGCTATCAGTGATTCGGAATATCAGGAGACCGGGATGGAAATGGCCTTCCAATTGTATCTAATGAAAATGTGTTACCTTATCGGTTACCTACAAACTTTTTCATTACAGGTGATGAAACGTTAATGAATCTTCTCATAAATGACGCTAAAGTAACTCAGTGGTTTGAAGATTACTCATTTTATGAAAACGAGTAATAAATAAATAATTGGCAATTACTTGTCTGTACTGTAAAATGTTTTTTAGGAAAGAACTGTTAAAAAATCACTCAATTACGGTTATATTTTTAGCGACCCATTCCGGTTTAACGCGATGGAAAGAAATAAAACCCGATTATCCGTATAAAATAACAATTGATTTCATAGATCTATCAGTTAATACCATTACAATTTTTTAGGCCATTTCACAAAATACACAATAAGGCAATCGATGAAGTGTGGTACAAAAGGGCTGTAGATTATTATTACGTGGGTGGACCAAACTTTGTGTATTCGGTCCCTTTTGAGTCACTAGGTTTGCTATTCTATTAAATATTCGCTTTCAATTCAAATTCTATTTCTTTTCCTTAATCAGTAATACTGTACTGGATTAATAACGATTAATTAGAATCCTGTTTAAAAAGAATTTAATATTTTAAATATTTATTTCAATTTATTCTTCTTTTGTTTTTAGGATCAATTGAATTAACGTATGTGCATGTTAATTTTTGGTTCTACTTTCTGTTTGTTCTTCATCCTTTCTGTTTTCTGTTTCCCCTTTCTCTATTTTATTGAACTGTGAAATACCATTGAATATACCTATTAATGCTACGACCATTTTTCTTCACACTATTTTTGTTACCAAAAAAAAAAACAGGATTTGATAACACAACACCTGTAACAGCGACTTCGGCTATATTTAGAGAAGAACAATCAAAACAAGCTCCGATTTCGGTTGTTGGATATCAGTTTTACCACAGCGCTTTTTACGACTTATTTGTCGAAATAACAAAAATGGTAGGTAACAATTTCTGGGCAAAAACAATATCGAATATATTTATTAGTAATCGTAACCTAACTGTTTTGTCTTTCCATCGTTAGTGTGAAGGTCATCGTTGCAAAGTGACCTGCGGGTCAGAGGAGCTAAACTGCTTCGTTCTTGATAATAATGCTTACATTGTGGTTAGCGATGACTTGGAAGATGCTGGTAACTTTTTTGGAGATGTACGACCAGACATCATGCACGAACTAGTTACTGACGGAATATTTAAGAAAACCCAAATTTTTGATTACCAAGCCATTTGCTATATTGACAAAAAGAAAGCTACAGAACCGCCATCGTCAGGAACGCGATTTGGAAAGGTAAAGCAGGATTAGTAAAAATGAAAGAATCTCCCACCCGCATAACTCAAAAACAACGCGAACCTAACAAAATTAACGTGTTCTCTACCAAAATTCGGATAATTAGCTCTAAGGTTTACCTGAGGGAATACAAATTACTACGTACTAAAAGTGAGATAGTTCGTGATAGCTTTGAGTTAATGAGTTTAAGTCCAATCATTGTCAACAGGCTAAATTCGTTGCCGAATCCTTTTTGATAAAATAAACGTGTGCAATCTGAAAAAGATAAAATTTACGAAACATGATACATATTTTTGAGGTAAATTTACTAGTCGAAAAATGTGTTATACTTGTACTAGTACAACATCGATTTTATTAGGATCTTACCCAATTAAAGGGTATCGATGCTTTTAGGAAGTCATAGCATTTTTTTTGGTCTCCAAAACAAAATAATTTAAGGCATTTGGAATGTTCGCCTTTCAATTAGTTTAAAAATTTTTCAGTTCTTTGACAATTTAGGCGCAATAATCAATTGGTTTATGACAACCATCGTGTACTTTGCAAAAATTATTCTTGGGAAAAAGAAAATGTACCAAAGTGTCAAATCGTACACATTAGGTTACAATAGGCTACAACTAAACAAAACAGTACCAACACCCTGTGATCACCAATTATGGTTATTTACTTTAAACAGGACAAGTTACACTGACACTGAACCCGACATATTCTTGAACAAAGAATGTAAATGGTAAATGAATTTTACTACGAAAATTTCATAACAGAATTTGTAAAATGTTGTTTTGTAGGCCGTACATGGCCCAACCGATTCCCAAAAGTAACTTGATTCTTTTGGTTGTTAATGGTCTATGCCCCAAGAACACTACACAAGCTTACCAGTACACTCCCGATCCCATTGAAATACCCTACAATATTTCCCATCCCTGTTTCATTGCCACAAGGAATAACTTTTACAAGAGACCTTACATAAAATGTATTAATAGAAATGAAAAGGTAAGTGGCTTATAATCTCACTGATTTTCGGGTGTAAATGTTACTTTTGTAATTTCAAGGAATTTAAACTTAACTCCTTGGATCCGGAGAAATACTGTGGAAAAATCGACAGCAAGGATTTAAAAAAGCCTGATAAGAAAAAGTCAGATTAATGAGAGTACTCCGTAGTACATATTTGCTGATTCTTTTATCAAAAAGTATCTACTCTTTTAAAAATTTTATCGTAAATTTTTAATTAGTATCGTATCCCCACATATGTATATTAATCAAAAAATATTATAACCAATTCAAAAATGCTATAATATAATAAATGTGTTACGAAGTCATTAAAAATAAAATTTAAATAAAGTTCCAAGATTCCAAAAATTTTTCCTTTGTTTTTAACATTATCAACATTCTCAAGGTATGTGTTAAAAGTCATGATATTGTCATTAATAAACGCTTCAAACAATTGAATTATACTTGATTCAATCTTCATATATATTTAATACTTACCCTTTAAAACTGTTCCCAAAATAAGATATTATACTATTTATACATGAGAAATACACAGTTTTTCACAAATAATTTATTTCTAATGCGACAAATTATTGGGTGTTGGCTGGAATTGCTGGTGTTGGATTGGAGACGACGCTTTTAAGAAAGCCCAATAATTTTGATACAAAACCGCCCTCATCATCGCATTCACACTCTTCCCCATCATTACTTTCGTCGTCACAAGAACATTCCTCTTCGTCGTTACTTTTCAGGTGTAAAATTAAAAGAAATTGGTTCATCAAACAACCTACTTTTTCTATAATAGTATTTTCAAAGTTCAACCAAGCAGGTGGTACGCAATCTGGGCATATTCTCTTGTAAAATGAACATATAAAAGTCTGAAACGTTAAATTTTAATACATACATGAAGTACTACAGGTAGTAATAAAATATCTGTAGATGGCGACACACTGTCTAAAAATCTAATACTAAAAAATAAAAACCGTTCTAGGTTTGGGTCTTCCTTTTATTATTCATTGCTTTAAACACCTCAATGCAATCAAAAAAGTTGACTGTTTTCTGAACGTAGGTATAGTTGGGACCTTCAGAATTGGCATAGTCCGCAAGCAATAAAACCATATTTATTGTAGCATTTACTTTCTTCTTTCAACTTACTAACTAGACTAGAGCTGTTGCTGATGGAACGCCTACTTTTGTTTACGACAAACGTTGTAGGGAATATCGTAAAGATAGAAAAGAGATGTCAGATAGGAATTGCAGCGGGCACTAATAAAGAGAAGGGAACATTACACTAGTTAATATCAGAAAGAGATTCAGACAAGCAAAATTTGAGCATATAATTCAGAGAAGGCAGTTATAAAGCCGACCCTGATCTTTGGCATACCCAAGCAACTTTTAACCGCTGTAGCGCTTACTGTTATTCGGTTATCCGTTTTCACTTAGTTTGTACTACGCACGAAGCATTTCCTAACTTAATAAAGGCATATTCAAAGCTAATGGCTACAGTTCCAAGTGGAAACAAGAAAGATAATTTACTACGGACTTTCCCAATTTTAATAGTTCCAACTGTAAATCCAAAATCCACTATAGAATTCATACTTACGTATAATGAGTACACCATTGCGGTATAATTTGCAGCCAGCATACATTTGTACCGCCCTGTTGGCTTTTTGCATTGATCGGCCATATTGATCGGTATAGGTGCATCTGCCTTGCACAGTTTTTGTTTCGAAAATTTTCGGTCTCCAAGCCAATATCCAATCTTTAACAGTAAATAAAAATAGTTAAGGTTGTGGGATGTTCTAGTTTTAGGGATGATGATAAAGTTTAACTTCTGTTAATTAGTACGAACTATAGTTTACAACATTTTTGTATCAACTGTCATGCATTCTGATAATTGTTATTTCAATTTCAATGTTGGTAGCTTACTGTTCTTTGAACCAGTGTTGGATCTTTCGACTTGCATATAGGTTTTGGGGCATAGCCTCCGTCCCCTTCGTCGGAAAGGCTTTCAAAAATTTGTTCCAGAACGGATATATAGTGACTCAAAAAAATATTTCGCAGTGCGTAAATTAGTTTACATATTTTGTATCCTTTACATGATGGTTTGTCGCATTTTGTGAAGACGTGAATTACCTTTTCTTCGCACACAATTCCTGTAAGGCAAGTCTAGTTTATATTACATTGCTTTAGAAAGGCATTTTTCATAAAATACCCTTTTCCCCGCAGACTGGAACCATATAGGCGTTAGCACCATTTTTATATTTTTCAAACACGTAAAATAATAAACACAAAATTATTAAACTTAAACGCATAACGGCGTAAAAATAATAAAAATTACATCAAAATTTGACTTTTCAGTAGTCAAACTGATCTACGTTTTTTGGACAATATGTCACAATGACTTTATTGGCCGCCCACTTAGTTAAGAAAAAAACAAAGAAAATTTTGGTTGAATTTCCAGAGACAATCTTGAATTTGAAAAGTAACTATTTGAGTTAATTTAAGTACCAACAACAGTGATTTATCAGTATTTATTTCGGAATTATAAGAAACCTCGCTAAATATTTACATAAAATAATATAAGTACATTGCAATGGCTTTATTCTTTCAAATCCGGTCGATTTTTGATTCCCTTCTTAGTTAGACGTGATTTAGTTTGGATCTTCGATTATATTTGACTACAACTGTATATTAATTTATACCTATGGTGAATTAAAATGAATTGAAAATATTCTTACTCAAGTCCTCCATATCACTTTCGTCGCTATCAGTATCAATATCAACATCATTTGCCTCTGTTGCAACATCTACCCTTCGACTTTCAACGTTAAATGTTATGTTTCTTAAAACGATTTCATAAAAATTTAAAGGAGACCATCTATAGAACGACCTGAGAAATTTCTTTAAAAAAGTATTTTTATTATAGCCAAATCTCAATCAATCACTTCCGAATCGACAGATAGAAGAACTCACATATGTTGCAATAAATATCGTCATCAAATGAGCTCCTAGAAATAAATTGTAGCATTTCTTTAGGTCCACGTTGCGAAAACTAATTTTATTTACAAGTTTGTGAGGCGTTTGAACCGGCATATTTACATTACGAGGAACGGTTTTAGTCTTAGGGGGTGGAGGCTGGTGGCCCCACAAATTGAACTAAAAATTTAAGTAACAATTTAAAAATTGAAGCCCTTATTTCTTTAATAAAGGTTAGATACAGCTTTTTCTAAGAAAGATTGTCCTTTAGATTCGTCCTTGTTTTTTGACCTTAACCTTCTGTTATTAGTCAAAGGTCGTCTTTTCTTAATAATATTCTTTTCTTCTTCTCTAACATCAGAGGGTTGGTCGAGCTGATCCAATTCCTCTTCTGTTTCTATTTCTTTAGGAGGAATTAATTCAGCAATTTGAATTTGTTTTATTGCCTTGTCGTCCTTTAAACAATCGAAAACTTTTTTAGCCCCATTTACAAACCAGCCAAAAACCATATCACTAACACATACAAACAGCTTGTATACTTTGTACCTTTTACAAAGTACATTTTGATCATGATCTATGAAACTATATATTTTATCGAAGCATACGCTATCTGAAGAAGAAAACATTATTATAACGAAACAGTTACTACGAAATACAAAAATTAAATCCTAAATGACGATTTCAAAATTCTTGGCCCATGAAGGGCAATCACAAAGACTTCTGATCGAGAATTTGTATCTGTTAATTTTCTCTTTTTTGCTTTTGTATTTGAAATCTTGTATACTTAAAAACATTTGGATGAAACAAATAAACAAACCTACCATGCTCTTTGTATACAGGTACAGTGTAAACTCCATAACAGCTGTATAATATTTGAAAAACGCAAAGTATGAAGAGGACGAATGATGTAGATGAACGCATTTTAAAGATACTGAAAATTTGGACTTTTCAACCTAAAATATTTCATTTGACAAATGGTTCGTTCACATGGAGATTTTTATACTGCGGAAAAAAAACTACATATATGTATTTGTTCTTTTTTGTTTTTGAAATATGGACGGTGGATTTTGCTAAAAAGAATAGCGTTTTCGATGTGGCGTTTTAGTAAGTTGCATCCAAGGAAAACATTATCAAAATTTATATTTAGTTGTTTATGACTTGCGTTGTCTTTCACTCAGTTAGTAACGAAATTGTTTTATACATGCATATGTAAGAATAAAATAATTCGAAGTGGTCTGTATTCTGCCGAAAGTGCCAGACGCGGATCGCGATTTCGATCTTTTTGGATCTCATCAGCGCATCGCAGACAGTTGTTTTAGAAATATAAGGATAGAAAGATAAAATAAAAATTTCTTCAAACAAAATGTATTTTCAAAATTGTTTCAGCAAGTTTATTTATGTACATGATGGAAATATTTCTAAGAATTTGTTGTTTCGTTTTTCAAATCTTCACAACAATCGTTCTCAGTTACTTCCTCTGCTTCCTTCTGGTTCTTTTCTTCCTGTTCGACATTGACCACGTCCCTGACTGGTACATCTACTGCTGTAGCGTCTCCTTCGGTGTCGTATCCCGTCATTACTTCGTTGTCCGATGGCTCGCCGTCAACTGCCCGTTCCGTTGCTTTAGGTCGAGCATAGAAATAGGTTTCCACACTTCCTAATCGTTGATGGATATCGGAAACTGCATCGATTTTGCGTTTGATTACGTCTTCGCCTTCCTGCTGTTTGGTATCTGAAAGTTTAGTGAAAATTCTGCAAGTTTTTGAGTAATACGTTGCCAGAAATAATCCATGCTGTAAGGATTTGCAGAGTAAGAGACGTTACCTTGACTGGCATAAAGTTTCTTCAAGTTCAACGACAGTAGTTCGATTTGGACCTCTGCTAATTCTCGAATGATCTCGATATTAACTGCCAAGTAGCACTGGGGTCTAACTTCTTTTAATATTCCACTTAAAGTTTCTAACGCGTCACCTCGACGTTTCTGAACGTTATACATCGACTCTAAATCGGGTTCGTAAAAAGCCAAGTAACGATAAAGCTCGCTCAAATCCAACACACCGTTGACATATTGCAAGGGAAAGTCTCTTAGGGTGTAATAAAGTCTGACGCGTTTCAGCCACGTGTGCGTATGCAAAAATAATAATCTTGCTTGTTCTGTTGTGACCACGGGAGTTGCTGGAACACTTTCTACAGCGAACTCCAAATTTCCAAACACCAAATTCGGATCCATTGGCTCTTCTTGTGAATATGTCGGGTTTCCTAAGGCAAAAGGGGGAAACGAATAAAATTTTAACTATAGGGTTGTTCGGAAAGTCATTTCGTTTTTTTTTTCGTGGAAATGAAAGACAGTTTTCGTATAATAAACAAATACTTTATNTGTCAAATAGGCACATTCCGGTATTATTTTCATCAAAATATATGATACAAATTAAAAATAAAAAGGCCCTCGTAAAATTATAGAAAGATGAAAGATATTAACAAACTTTCTAGAAGTGATAATAATGTAGAAAAGTACGTAGAATCTCATCGTGCCAACGGTTTTCGAGTGCGGTGTCAAATAGGCACATTCCGGTATTATTTTCATCAAAATATATGATACAAATTAAAAATAAAAAGGCCCTCGTAAAATTATAGAAAGATGAAAGATATTAACAAACTTTCTAGAAGTGATAATAATGTAGAAAAGTACGTAGAATCTCATCGTGCCAACGGTTTTCGAGTGCGGTGTCAAATAGGCACATTCCGGTATTATTTTCATCAAAATATATGATACAAATTAAAAATAAAAAGGCCCTCGTAAAATTATAGAAAGATGAAAGATATTAACAAACTTTCTAGAAGTGATAATAATGTAGAAAAGTACGTAGAATCTCATCGTGCCAACGGTTTTCGAGTGCGGTGTCAAATAGGCACATTCCGGTATTATTTTCATCAAAATATATGATACAAATTAAAAATAAAAAGGCCCTCGTAAAATTATAGAAAGATGAAAGATATTAACAAACTTTCTAGAAGTGATAATAATGTAGAAAAGTACGTAGAATCTCATCGTGCCAACGGTTTTCGAGTGCGGTGTCAAATAGGCACATTCCGGTATTATTTTCATCAAAATATATGATACAAATTAAAAATAAAAAGGCCCTCGTAAAATTATAGAAAGATGAAAGATATTAACAAACTTTCTAGAAGTGATAATAATGTAGAAAAGTACGTAGAATCTCATCGTGCCAACGGTTTTCGAGTGCGGTGTCAAATAGGCACATTCCGGTATTATTTTCATCAAAATATATGATACAAATTAAAAATAAAAAGGCCCTCGTAAAATTATAGAAAGATGAAAGATATTAACAAACTTTCTAGAAGTGATAATAATGTAGAAAAGTACGTAGAATCTCATCGTGCCAACGGTTTTCGAGTGCGGTGTCAAATAGGCACATTCCGGTATTATTTTCATCAAAATATATGATACAAATTAAAAATAAAAAGGCCCTCGTAAAATTATAGAAAGATGAAAGATATTAACAAACTTTCTAGAAGTGATAATAATGTAGAAAAGTACGTAGAATCTCATCGTGCCAACGGTTTTCGAGTGCGGTGTCAAATAGGCACATTCCGGTATTATTTTCATCAAAATATATGATACAAATTAAAAATAAAAAGGCCCTCGTAAAATTATAGAAAGATGAAAGATATTAACAAACTTTCTAGAAGTGATAATAATGTAGAAAAGTACGTAGAATCTCATCGTGCCAACGGTTTTCGAGTGCGGTGTCAAATAGGCACATTCCGGTATTATTTTCATCAAAATATATGATACAAATTAAAAATAAAAAGGCCCTCGTAAAATTATAGAAAGATGAAAGATATTAACAAACTTTCTAGAAGTGATAATAATGTAGAAAAGTACGTAGAATCTCATCGTGCCAACGGTTTTCGAGTGCGGTGTCAAATAGGCACATTCCGGTATTATTTTCATCAAAATATATGATACAAATTAAAAATAAAAAGGCCCTCGTAAAATTATAGAAAGATGAAAGATATTAACAAACTTTCTAGAAGTGATAATAATGTAGAAAAGTACGTAGAATCTCATCGTGCCAACGGTTTTCGAGTGCGGTGTCAAATAGGCACATTCCGGTATTATTTTCATCAAAATATATGATACAAATTAAAAATAAAAAGGCCCTCGTAAAATTATAGAAAGATGAAAGATATTAACAAACTTTCTAGAAGTGATAATAATGTAGAAAAGTACGTAGAATCTCATCGTGCCAACGGTTTTCGAGTGCGGTGTCAAATAGGCACATTCCGGTATTATTTTCATCAAAATATATGATACAAATTAAAAATAAAAAGGCCCTCGTAAAATTATAGAAAGATGAAAGATATTAACAAACTTTCTAGAAGTGATAATAATGTAGAAAAGTACGTAGAATCTCATCGTGCCAACGGTTTTCGAGTGCGGTGTCAAATAGGCACATTCCGGTATTATTTTCATCAAAATATATGATACAAATTAAAAATAAAAAGGCCCTCGTAAAATTATAGAAAGATGAAAGATATTAACAAACTTTCTAGAAGTGATAATAATGTAGAAAAGTACGTAGAATCTCATCGTGCCAACGGTTTTCGAGTGCGGTGTCAAATAGGCACATTCCGGTATTATTTTCATCAAAATATATGATACAAATTAAAAATAAAAAGGCCCTCGTAAAATTATAGAAAGATGAAAGATATTAACAAACTTTCTAGAAGTGATAATAATGTAGAAAAGTACGTAGAATCTCATCGTGCCAACGGTTTTCGAGTGCGGTGTCAAATAGGCACATTCCGGTATTATTTTCATCAAAATATATGATACAAATTAAAAATAAAAAGGCCCTCGTAAAATTATAGAAAGATGAAAGATATTAACAAACTTTCTAGAAGTGATAATAATGTAGAAAAGTACGTAGAATCTCATCGTGCCAACGGTTTTCGAGTGCGGTGTCAAATAGGCACATTCCGGTATTATTTTCATCAAAATATATGATACAAATTAAAAATAAAAAGGCCCTCGTAAAATTATAGAAAGATGAAAGATATTAACAAACTTTCTAGAAGTGATAATAATGTAGAAAAGTACGTAGAATCTCATCGTGCCAACGGTTTTCGAGTGCGGTGTCAAATAGGCACATTCCGGTATTATTTTCATCAAAATATATGATACAAATTAAAAATAAAAAGGCCCTCGTAAAATTATAGAAAGATGAAAGATATTAACAAACTTTCTAGAAGTGATAATAATGTAGAAAAGTACGTAGAATCTCATCGTGCCAACGGTTTTCGAGTGCGGTGTCAAATAGGCACATTCCGGTATTATTTTCATCAAAATATATGATACAAATTAAAAATAAAAAGGCCCTCGTAAAATTATAGAAAGATGAAAGATATTAACAAACTTTCTAGAAGTGATAATAATGTAGAAAAGTACGTAGAATCTCATCGTGCCAACGGTTTTCGAGTGCGGTGTCAAATAGGCACATTCCGGTATTATTTTCATCAAAATATATGATACAAATTAAAAATAAAAAGGCCCTCGTAAAATTATAGAAAGATGAAAGATATTAACAAACTTTCTAGAAGTGATAATAATGTAGAAAAGTACGTAGAATCTCATCGTGCCAACGGTTTTCGAGTGCGGTGTCAAATAGGCACATTCCGGTATTATTTTCATCAAAATATATGATACAAATTAAAAATAAAAAGGCCCTCGTAAAATTATAGAAAGATGAAAGATATTAACAAACTTTCTAGAAGTGATAATAATGTAGAAAAGTACGTAGAATCTCATCGTGCCAACGGTTTTCGAGTGCGGTGTCAAATAGGCACATTCCGGTATTATTTTCATCAAAATATATGATACAAATTAAAAATAAAAAGGCCCTCGTAAAATTATAGAAAGATGAAAGATATTAACAAACTTTCTAGAAGTGATAATAATGTAGAAAAGTACGTAGAATCTCATCGTGCCAACGGTTTTCGAGTGCGGTGTCAAATAGGCACATTCCGGTATTATTTTCATCAAAATATATGATACAAATTAAAAATAAAAAGGCCCTCGTAAAATTATAGAAAGATGAAAGATATTAACAAACTTTCTAGAAGTGATAATAATGTAGAAAAGTACGTAGAATCTCATCGTGCCAACGGTTTTCGAGTGCGGTGTCAAATAGGCACATTCCGGTATTATTTTCATCAAAATATATGATACAAATTAAAAATAAAAAGGCCCTCGTAAAATTATAGAAAGATGAAAGATATTAACAAACTTTCTAGAAGTGATAATAATGTAGAAAAGTACGTAGAATCTCATCGTGCCAACGGTTTTCGAGTGCGGTGTCAAATAGGCACATTCCGGTATTATTTTCATCAAAATATATGATACAAATTAAAAATAAAAAGGCCCTCGTAAAATTATAGAAAGATGAAAGATATTAACAAACTTTCTAGAAGTGATAATAATGTAGAAAAGTACGTAGAATCTCATCGTGCCAACGGTTTTCGAGTGCGGTGTCAAATAGGCACATTCCGGTATTATTTTCATCAAAATATATGATACAAATTAAAAATAAAAAGGCCCTCGTAAAATTATAGAAAGATGAAAGATATTAACAAACTTTCTAGAAGTGATAATAATGTAGAAAAGTACGTAGAATCTCATCGTGCCAACGGTTTTCGAGTGCGGTGTCAAATAGGCACATTCCGGTATTATTTTCATCAAAATATATGATACAAATTAAAAATAAAAAGGCCCTCGTAAAATTATAGAAAGATGAAAGATATTAACAAACTTTCTAGAAGTGATAATAATGTAGAAAAGTACGTAGAATCTCATCGTGCCAACGGTTTTCGAGTGCGGTGTCAAATAGGCACATTCCGGTATTATTTTCATCAAAATATATGATACAAATTAAAAATAAAAAGGCCCTCGTAAAATTATAGAAAGATGAAAGATATTAACAAACTTTCTAGAAGTGATAATAATGTAGAAAAGTACGTAGAATCTCATCGTGCCAACGGTTTTCGAGTGCGGTGTCAAATAGGCACATTCCGGTATTATTTTCATCAAAATATATGATACAAATTAAAAATAAAAAGGCCCTCGTAAAATTATAGAAAGATGAAAGATATTAACAAACTTTCTAGAAGTGATAATAATGTAGAAAAGTACGTAGAATCTCATCGTGCCAACGGTTTTCGAGTGCGGTGTCAAATAGGCACATTCCGGTATTATTTTCATCAAAATATATGATACAAATTAAAAATAAAAAGGCGCTCGTAAAATTATAGAAAGATGAAAGATATTAACAAACTTTCTAGAAGTGATAATAATGTAAAAAAGTACGTAGAATCTCATGGTGCCAACGGTTTTCGAGTGCTGTGTCAAATAGGCACATTCCGGCATTATTTTCATCAAAATATATGATATAAATTAGAAATAAAAAGGCGCTCGTGAAATTACAGAAAGATGAAAGGTATTTACTAACTTTTGAAAACCGATATTACTGTAAAAAAGTACGTAGAATCTGATGGTACCAATGGTTATTTAGTGCGGTGTCAAATAGTTACTTTCCGGCATTGTTTTTATTAAAGTATACAAAATATATCAGAATGAAAAAGGCGCTCGTGAAATTACAGAAAGATGAAAGGTATTTACTAACTTTCAAGAAGTGTTAATTATGTAAAATAGTACGTAGAATCTCATGGTGCCAACGGTTTCCGGCTGCGGTGTCAAATAAGCACGTTCTGGCATAATTTTCATTAAAATACGCGCTCATGAAATTACAGAAATATGGATGTTATTTACTGACTTGCAAGAAGTGATAATTATGTAATAAAACACGTTGAATCTTATGGTGTCAACCTGTCAACGGTTTTAGAGTGCGTTGACAAGAAATTAGTACTATTACTGCGTATTTTTATCAAAATATATAAATTAATCTGAACAAAAGTAAGCACTCGTGGAATTGTTTGGAAATTGAATAAATTTTTAAATGCTGATTTAATTTGTTAGTAAAGTTGTATTTCCAAAAGTTTGTAAATAAGTAGCTATAAAAGGACATAGCTAAATAATGTCATAGAACTAATTTTTTATCTTATGTTACTGTGTATGCGAAATCGTGATGTTTATTGTATGTTTATATAATTAGCACGCTAAATATCGTTCTTGTTTTTCAATGTTTTATCAGTCGCATGGATCTCTCTGTTTGAGAGGAATTTCCGTTTTGGCAGGGTATATTTTACATTGTTGCGCTGAACAAGTAAACACACACTCGTTTTCTTTGCGGTGCCGACAATCGACGTGGGTTTTATATCTTTTGAGGCCTAACTTAATACAATCCTTTCGTTTGACTTTTGGAAACTTGATTTTATTTGTAACTATCGGTTTACAACCATCGTGTCTGCCCTGGGAACATTTTGTGATAGGGTATCCCCTATACGTTTGGATCGGTTTCTTTTGTAAGCAGCTGGTTTCTAATTGTTTCTTTTTCTTCTGCGTCTCTCTTGGATGCAGTCCACATTCTAATTCTTCGATATTAAGGCAGGGTTTTGATTGTTGCGTAAACTCTTCATTATCTTTCTCAGAACATTTGGAACTGTTTAAAAATCCTGTATTGGGGCAGTGATTTTGACTCCATTGTACACATTTCGTGAGACTAGATGTAGCTGATGGCTTTGAATAGTTACAATGCGGATTTAGAGTATACTTCATATTGTCTAAAATTAGTTTAAATACACCATTTAACGATGGACGGGACATGTTTTTATTTGCAATTACTGAACACAATAAATTTTGACACAATTTTGAAATATGACAATTGTCATATTTTATGTCGTAATTATTCTTTGCTCCATTGTCTAGAGTGTTACTGGTATCTACTTTCCTTTTTCGTGTATATCTAAGTATATTACAATTTTAAAATGACTAAAAAGAAAGTAAACAAATATAAAAGTAACGAACTATTAAGTTCAGAGTTTGTTAGGAATAAAATTAGTAAACTATTTATGTAAATTATAAGGAAAAATCTTTTCAATTTAAATAATTTGTTTATTCAATCTTTTCTCTTTTTAGTAAACAGTTTATCTCTTTTATTAATGTAAACTTGATTAAAAACAATTTGTGTTATTACGGTAATTAAAAAATGTTCTTATTGTTTTACACGTTATTCTAGTACTTTTTGCGCTCCTGGCATGAGCCACTGGTTGTAGCTGGGTTTTAGTAAAACATCATCAGATGTCAGTCACAATATGGGTAAAAGTTGGGAACAGATTAAGCTTTCTTCTAATGTTGAACCTATGCATAAAGTTATTTCTTGTTACGGACCTTTAGATGTCGCTCTAGATTCTACTCGACGCTTTCCATCATGTTATACAAGAGCTTTTATAAAGAATTGGAACTGTGCCTCTTAATCTTTAAGCAGGATTTGGTTAATTTCGATATAACGACGTTGGTGTTTACTTTAGTTGTAATAGAATTACTGAATCTAACATTTTCAAGATACTTCACTATCAAAAATGAAAATTTTTAATGAAGATCATTTTAAAAAGACTTATAGCGAAGAAAATTTACAATTCATCTGTGATTTTTACTTAAGTATAAACACACTGATAAAAATGTTGTTTTCATTTTATTTTCTTATTAAATAAATTATTCAGTTTTAACGTAAGACTACTGTCTTATCGCGATAACTTGGAAATTCTTAAATCAAGTAAAAGTAATTTGTATTTTCTCGTACTCAAATCAAAATTTCTTTCTCAAAATAAGATAATTAGTTAAACTTTTCATAGAAGAATTAAAATATTCTTTAGTTAACACTACATATTGCTGTTTTAATTTGAAAATATTTATTTGATCAAATTGGGTAGAAAATCTTTGATAGAGCAATTGGTGTTTTTAAATTGGAACCAAAAGCACCAGTATTTGCTTGAAGTTAAGAACTGTTTATTATCAGTGTACTATCTGAAATGGTAGCTTTTAATGTGGTAATATTTTTGATAATAAGGATTAGACAAACAATAAAGTTCGCTACTAGTTTTTGGCACTTTAAAAATATATGAGATAAGCGAGCTATATGTTCTTATAAACCACTTTTGCTGAATTTTCAGTTTTTACATATCAAAACTGAAAATAATCTGTTATATTTTTTGAAAGAACAACTCCTTTTCGTGTTTTCTTTGGATTTGTAAAAGAATACTCATTATTTGCAACGTCCGCGTTATTGTTAAAGGGAGTGACGCGCTTCTAATGCTTTTATACATAAACAAACTTTACTGGAAAATAATAATCATCTTTAGCTTTTAATAAAGACTGATGAGGTAATTATTGCATTATGGTTTAATTAATTTTTAAGTCACTTCGATTGGTAACCTTCGCTACATGTGTAGTTTACAAAATAAGGGATTTATTTACGCAATCAGTTTGTTATCAAACACATTTCATTGTCAATAGCAATCAGTACGATAAAGAATATTTTAAGATTTTAGACTTATCAATTTTATCACCTAGTTATCATGAGATGTGCAATATCTAAAATTAATTAGTTACTTTCAGAAATAATCAGTTTTCATTGCTTTTTAATTTATGAAGATGAAGTCAGTGGAAGGTGTCATAGTTGTTATATATTTTTTGTGTGCTTTGAGTATGAATATAATAGAAAAAAGAATATGGCAGTGAATTAACAATGAAAACCTTTTTCAGATCGGTTTACGAATGCACAGGATAATGTTACAGAAGTAAGTAACACTACAGCGATTTCAGTAACTACGGTTTCGCCAACTACAGTGCCAGAAGATGAAGATGACGAAGATGCATTTAATATCAATGTACCCTACTGCTTTAATTTTACATGGTTGGGTCCTAGATACGACAACTCAACTAGTTACAATGGTAGCTGTACGGAATGGAAAAGTGAAAATCCAACAAGTGGCATACCATGCGCCGATCCTTTTGTTGTAACGTGTAAGTTTCTTAATTGTACCTAAAGAGTGACAAATTGCTGGTTATACTTTCTGTTTTACTCCAATAAAAAAATTAAGGGTTTCTTCGTGGGTTAAACTCATTTTCTAAAATGTTTTGTATCAATTACGAAAGTTTTCGATGAATTTAAAATTTCAATTAGCCTAACCTTATTCCCATTATTATCTGTTAAAAAAAATAAACATAAGATAATATTTGATAGTCTACATTACAAAACAGCAGTTGCATGCTAAAACTTTCTATGATCGGAAAATTTCAACTTATTATAATGACTATCCAATTTTGAATTCCGCAAAATTGTATCAAATATATTCAAACAGGAAAACAACTTTGAGATTGTGGAACTAACTAACTAAATCTTAAATGTGATAGACGAAACAATTACAAAATAAATAAATAATTTAGTAAAAAATCTCAAAGTTAATTTCCTATAAATACTCAACCTCAAATAACTAATTGTACATTCATTAAAATAATTAATATAGAATTTACAAAACTTAATCTAATTTTTATGTTTCATTTAAAGATGATGGATCAGAGCCTAACATTGATTATATATGGACAAATCATAGGTCTTCTGTGCTATGTAGACAGGCCACTGGAGATAGCTGTATCAAGTGGAGCTACTACTTCAACAATGCACGTAAGTCTAGTTTATTAAATAAAACTCAGTTTTTTAGGCATTATTTTACGATTTCTACGTTCTTACTTACTTACATACGCCTAGTTCAAGTGGAACTAATACAGTTGACTCATTTTCTTGTTATCTGAATATACTTATCGGTAGAAATATGTAAAAGTTCAGATAATTTCTTCACGGTTTCATGAATCACTTTAGGATTGAAAAGGAGCTATGTATTTTATTATTCGTCGCACAAAATCCACAAGGTTCTAAGTAGACTTTTGAACAAAATTTGGTTTTCCCAATCAGAACATGTAAAAAAGTTTTCTGCATCAATGAGTCTAAAAATTGTCTCGGTTACACTAAAGGTGTTATTTTTACGCTTCCAAAAACACACTTCTTTACACAAAGATAAAATTAGGCATATAAATCTGAATAAAACAAAAAAATACCGAGTATATTTTTTAACAGTTTTATTTAATTTTGATTTCTGTACATCTAAATAAAATTTTTAATCCAAGTACATACGTGTCTCTTATAAAAAGACCTTATATAAATTTGTAAAGGTACATAGTTTTTGTTAACATTTATAATAGAAAGGAGTTTTAACAAACAAGATAATTCTAGTTGATTTGAAATTTGCAGCAACATATACCATAGAACTTGCTTCCTTAAACAATTTTAAGAAATGTACTTGAAACCATTTGGAATTTACGCAATGAATTTCTCTCACGTTTTAAAATGTGACACAAGAACAACAATCCTAAAGACACCCCGGTGTAAGTTCTAACTATTCCTTTCAAAGCGCTCATAGATCGTCCTATTAGGTCTACTTCTTGTGTGCCACGTTAAGGCGCGTACAGTATACTATCTTGCAGGCTACAACGATTATTTCTGCTTGAAATGAATTTATCTTTTGAAATGTTTCAGTTCAAAATGTTACTCGAATGTGTGGTAGAGTTTATACTGAAAAAGGGGACCCGGTATCTAAGGGCTGTTACACACAAGTGGTAAATGGATATACAATAGAGTTTTGCGTGTGCAGATCTTCGTCAGGTGGACTAAAACCTTGTAATAATGCTAACACTATCAGTGGTTTCAAAATAGGCCTCACCTTTACGACAGCTCTGTTATTTTATTATTATGCGTTATGTTATTCCTAATTATATAATATATGCAAGACAATATTCCTTTAAAAAGAAAATAATTATACTCCTATAAATTGATATCCTAACTGATTTTTTATATTGAATGAAATTTTACTTTCTTCTAGTATACGAATAACTTATTGATTTTTAATTATTTTGTACATATTATTATATAATTGTTATTTTTATTAATGTGTTATGAAGAAATAGATATATAGATTACAAATTAATTTAATTAATGTTTAAGTCTAATGGTTTTTCTACATAAACTAAAAGTGGTTTGATTATTTTTGAATAATTGCTATTTCTGGCTAATCCTGATTAACGATTTTTTATCCTGTCTGGAATAGAAAAGCGAAATGATAAATATTTTATAAGAAGTAACATAAATTAATCTTGTATACTTCGGGGAAGAAACGTTTTACCACCAATAATTTATAAAACGAAGGTATATAACCTATCAACTTTAATTTCCCTTAAAGAATTTAAACTACCCTTCTTACGTTTCCATTTTCAGTTTAAAAAGCTGATTCCTACCTAAGATAGCCTTTGTTTGAGATCGATCCTTCATTTTAAAAGTTATAAGCCTTTTTTTATTGACTTTGGCTGTTTAATATTCAAAAAATAATCTTTTAGAAAACTAGAACAGAATTCAAATTTACCTAGTCCGAAATATTCAACTAAAATTCCTTACTGAAGTATAATTTTAAATATTGGTATTGAAAATAATAGAAATCAATATATACATATAATAAAAGTAAGTGTAGTTTGTCAGTCGTTGTCGCTAAAGCTCCTCATTCGAATCCCACAGTCTCATGGGGGTTATAGCATAGCCCTCCAACCCCCATCCATAAGGAAGATTTCAGTTTTCAGTTGCAGGGGTTGATTTCAAAGATATGGGGGTTAAAAGGCTATCGCCTCAAAGAATTTCATACAGAGAATCAATGAAGATGTTAATTGAGTTCTGGTTAGAACGTTATAGAATATCCCAGAATGTTCTAAAAGGCTCGAGAATATTCCCAAATGATAACTAATACCTGTAAGATTTAAATGTAAGTTAAAATTCGAATACTATAAATCAGATGCCAATAGTTGTACCACTTGGCCCTGATCAAGTTATCTGATTTGAGACGGATCAGAAATTGTAACGCCTTATATAGGGCATACTTTTAAAGGGTTGAAATAAGGAATTCAGTAAAAGGGTGTTGTTTTTCACCCCTGGTTAGTACCGTATATAATACCGCATAATACGAGGGTGGATTGATAAGTTTCCGGCCTAACCAAGAGATGACGCCACTAGGCCTACCTTGAGGTGACATTCTATAGTACCATCCTTGGATAGCTTGTAGCTATAGTTTCAGCCCGATCTCCTTGCTAGTGTAGGTTTGACAGCACGCTGAACAAGACGCCTCTGTGGTTTTCGTAAAAATGGAAAAGCAGGAAAATCGTGCTGTCATCAAATACTTTTATTTGAAGGGGTTAACGCCGAAGGAAATTAAAAAAGAGATGGACTCAACACTGGGGACATCCTCCCCGTCATATTCAACCGTTAAGCAGTGGGTTTCCGAGTTTAAAAAGGGTCGTGTGAGCACCTCTGATGGGCCTCGCTCAGGACGCCCCGTTGAGGTCACAACTCCAGATATGATCGAAAAAATTCATCAAATAGTGCTGGGAGACCGCAGATTGAAAGTGCGTGAGATAGCTGAGACCTGTAAGATGTCATATGAACGTGTGCAACATATTTTGCACCAACATTTGCATATGGAAAAGCTCTGTGCAAGATGGGTGCCGCGTTTGCTAACAGTCGACCAAAAATTGATTCGAAAAAACATTTCTACCGCAAATTTGTCATTGTATAAGCGTAATCCAAGCGAATTTTTGCGTCGATTCGTAACCGTTGACGAAACGTGGGTCCACCACTACACTCCTGAAACCAAAGAACAGTCTAAACAGTGGATTGGACCAGGGGAACCAACTCCAAAGAAGGCAAAAACAATTTTTTCGGCGAACAAGGTTATGGCTACTGTTTTTTGGGATGCAAGAGGTATTATATACATTGATTACCTTGCAAAGGGTAATACTATCACTGGTCAATACTACGCAGACTTATTGCAACGTTTGAGCCACGAGGTGAAAATTAAACGACCTCATCTGGCGAAGAAAAAAATCTTGTTTCATCACGATAACGCACCAGCGCACACGTCAATCGTTGCGACGGCTAAAATCAACGATCTAAAGTTTGAATTGATGCCGCACCCTCCTTACTCTCCAGACCTAGCCCCGAGTGACTATTTTCTGTTCCCTAATCTCAAAAAATGGCTTGGCGGTAAGAGATTTGCGGACAATGAAGAAGTAATCGAAGCTGTAAATGGTTATTTTGAGGAGCTTGACGAATCAGTCTATAGAGATGGCATTAATAGACTGGAACACCGCTATGAGAAATGTATCAGCCTTGGAGGAGATTATGTTGAGAAATAAAAAAAAAAAATTTTTAAAAACCTTGTTTTTCTTGGTCAGGCCGGAAACTTATCAATCCACCCTCGTAGAAGAAGCCCTAGTAAATCCGGATCCGATTCGGATGCTGATAGGACCGCCTTAACAAATTTCCAGGCGAATTTTGTTTCGAATAAATTTGTTCCTTATTATGACCAGCCTCGTCCTTTGACATTTCAGCAGTCGACGTCGTCCCGTTACTTATTTCCGAGTAAAAAATAATGCTCGCCATTCTTAAATCCATAAATATATACCTCAATTTTATTGATTTATTTTACAGATGCTTGCTTTTTCCTAATATTCTGTAGCAAACGGTGATACAAAACATAGTACTTACGCTCAAATTGAAAAAATAAAGATCACATTTTTTTGCACAATCTACAATTCCATCAGCTGTATCTGGTATTTTTAAATGCCTAACATGCGTGCGTAAGATGGAGATGAAACTGACAAAATTCGAGGCCTAAAATTAACTCATGAAAAACCGGTACCTCTCCAAATCTAATGCTAGCGTTTCTCTGTTTTTCTATCCTTCAGTAAAGTAATCATTTCTATTATGTTCATTTTCATATGCACGCCCGAAGGAGTAATACTAGGCGTACCAACAGAAATAGCTTCGTGTCATGAGTATTTGATGAATTCTTAAGCAAACTTTTAGATATTATGTCGGGATCGCATCTAGTTTCGAGAGGAAGTTTACTTTTCGATAAAATATCGTGTAAAATATACGCCTTTTGCTACTTGGAGCCGTTTTATACCTTTTCCGAGTGATATCTCTGGGGCGTCTTTATAACTAAACGCGCTTATGGTTAGTCAGCTCCTTCTTTAGATTATACGTTGTACTAACGGAAACATTTATTTCCCTTGACGACAAGTCTTCCGCTACAAGTGTCATGTTGAATCATAAATGATTTCCGATGAGATTTCTTGTCAAATTGAACGAGTACTTAATTTATGTTGGAAACAAGAAAATGGATTTAACCGCTGCCACTTGCCTACTTCTTTCGACGAATCTCTCCGGAGGATAATAAAGAACAAAATTATTTTTACTACGTGACGTGCATATATATCTAAAATTTTCACGAAGAAAAATTTTCAATACCTACTCGTAAATATAAATCACAATTTTGTCTCAAACGTACCCGCTTATACAAACGAATGATATTATGACGATAAATAAAAATGAAAACTAAAAGAGAATTCCGAGTATTTTGGAGTTAAATTTAACAAGTAAATTTGTCTAAATTGTAAAATTTTTGAAAGATCGAAACGAAAAAGTAATTGTAAAATGGATTCAACTACAATCTACGCCTAATGATTGTATGTTACATCGTTTTAAATGTTGTCGTAAGTAATTTTGTATACATTTCGATCTCCAAAATCCTTTCAGCTGACTTGCTTATAGAAGAAGAATAATTTGTAAATGTGTAGCGTAGATATTGTGCGTCAGTAAATTTGGAAGGTCCTTTTGTGCAAGTTATTGCCGTAATACACGCGATTTTTTGTATATAAAGTATTGTTTGTTTTATGACAAATTTCCTTAACTGCTTTGCTAGTACATGAAAAGCTTGTTCCGTAATATATAATTGTGGTTTACGCATGAAGAGCCTTAAAAGGGAAGAGAAATGATAAAGGCTTTAGAAAAGTCGCTCGCATCCAATCCACAAAGGGTTCAACAATAGATTACAGGTTGTGGCTACAGGGTGTGTGTATGACATATCAAAACGTGTCATGTAACAAAAAGCTATTTTCAGAGAATCGTTTGTCTGAAGTTGTGGTCTTCTTGTAGGTAGGTACTTCTCTTTTATCGCATAAAATATTTGCTACCTACTTTTTAAGATCACTTATCTTTAACGATGAGTATCGTGCCTTATCGTCATTAATATGTACCTACCTCTACGTCACATTACAAAATACAGGTGTACGTAATATTTAATTATAGCAATGTATCACCATCTGCTACGATATCAGCTGTTAATTAAACAATTTTATGTTAGACAAGGGCCTTACTGTACTACTGGAAACCAAATTAAACTACTGATGAAGAAGTTATAGTGCTTTTATTTATTTGAAGTAAATACCTCTCAGAAAAAGGCGCCTGTTTAACATATAAAATACTTCAATTTGCATCTGATATCAGTAGATAGTAAAATATATTCCCATGAGTAGATATATCAATTTCTTTTTAAAGAACTTCTTCGATTTGGTCGATAATTTATCAAGATTGCCTATGGCGTGTTGATAAGATTTAAAAAAATCGAAATTGAGATGCACGTTTGGTTTAGTTCTGTAGTTGAAATTTGGTGCTGACGCTTCTCGAAATAGTTTGGTGGAAGCGGTGATAATACTCAAAACACCCATGTCTTATCTATCCGAAGTGCTTTGAGAGATTGAAAACAATTTTCTTACTAATTTTTTACATTTTCAATTTTTATTCAACGGGATTTTCCCTCTGTATACATATATGCTGATACTCTAATAAACGTATGATTTGAACTTGGTTTTTATTTTGTTTGGACCGATTTCGACGTCCCTTATTGCTTTATTCTGTAGAAATTTTATGTGTTTATTTTATTATATGTTCACGTTCTCGATCATTTTAAGTCACTTGAATAATATTTATGAATTCATGCTTCAATTTCTTCTTAATTTGGTACAATTTTATCGACAGTTGTCAGTTGAGTATAAAGTAATCAGTTTTGTCCTTATTCTGTTCGTAACTCTAATGAGCCAGCAAAATTCAGGAACAACGCCGCCGAGTTCTAAATTGGCCCTGCGGCAATCGAGGTTATCCTGCCTTGTACCGAGGACGTCTCCGGTGAAACCACTGTTCACTAGAGGGCGTTTGCTAATGAAGTTATGCGGGCAAGCAGAACCGAGCTTTTATACGCGTTATTTGTTTAAACAGGCCGCATCGCGCCATGGCGGCTGCAGCCATTAAAGTCGAAGAATCTCGTTTCCTCTATAACATACGAATACATGTATGTACATAACTATCTGCTACGGAAGCCCAAAGCGATGAAATTTGCATTCTGTTTCTGTGTATGTTATTATGTAGCTACGTAGTACGTTTGAAATGGGTGTAGGTAAATAGCACACACGTTGTTGGACAGATAATCGGATTGGCGAGGCGGGCACTTCAATTCGGAAGAGGCAATCAGTGTTGCTGTACTGCCGTAAAATTGAGCTGAAGCAATTTGTCCGACGGTTGAAGGATTTATATCCTTTTATTTTTGGATTAAGGTAAGTCCACTCATCCTGGTCACGCTCGTCCATGTCATCGAAAATGAACGATTGGTTTTACATCCACGAAATTTCTGACTACACCTACATTATGTTCAACTGACGTAGCCACAAAATAATCTACCTACTATCAATCAAGAACATAATCTTTCTGAAAAGAAACGTTCTCTTTTTTGATGTAGAAATCCTGGGCTCATAAGGACCTTTCTTTTTTACTAACTCGGTCATTTATGTGTACAAAACACATTCTGCAAAATGTGACACTAATACTGATAAATTATGATGAATAGTTCGCTATGTAAAAATATTATGAACGATGTGTTTGTTTCATTACCTTGTTAGGAAGGTGTAGGTATCTAATCAGATGTTTTACTTGGTGACATTATATTATGCTCTCTAGTATTAAAAGGTATTGCTTTTAATAACGACTCAAACATTAGAAAAGTGAAAAATTTGTAACTTAAATTAAATTTCTTGCTTCAAATAAGCATACCGAACCGTTAATTAGAGGTTATTTAATTCTTAATTAAGCAACTTTGTAATTTATGACTTCGGGAGCCAGGGGAATATGTAAATGTGTAATCTAATAGAATGGAAAATGCAGGTATATTAAACTTTTTTCGATATATTCAAGTAAACGAGTATTACAAACTTTTCCGTACACGAGATTTACGATCTCAAATTAAATGAGAAGTTTAATGTAGTAGATATTACCAAAAACTGTCATATAAATTCAGCTTGCGGTTATGTAAATTGTAAATTGTAGTTGCATCTTGCTATTTTTTTGAAAATAAACTATACAAAACCGTTTTCGAATAAATAGCAGTTTTACAACACATTAAAAAACTGAAATCTAGCTAGGAGAATATTCCTACTTTTAATTAAAGGGTATTTACCGACTCTCATAATCATTGCTTACTTATTATTAGAGTTTCATTTTCTGATATCAACTTTAAAATTGTTTATCGTTTTATGTAGCTACATTGTTACTATCTTTGTCATCATAATAAACCTTATGATCTCAAAACTGACGCAATAAAATGAAGCACGCCTATATAATTAGATGAATAGGGAATATAAGCAATTTTGAATATACAGATAACAATACCCTTAGGATTAATTAGATATTTATATTTAGAACTTGATAAAATAAATAAACAATCGTGAATTTCAAAACTTGATCTTTAAGACAAATTTTTAACAAAAAGTGTTGTTATATGTAATAGTAGAAGACGTGATGCTCATTTTGAAAATTTGGTCAAAGACTGTCTAAAAATCTGTCCAAAAACTTTCTGCGTTAGGCACAGTTTATGGATGCATCAATTTTACCGATTGTCTCCATTCCAAAATGCAAACACATCCACACCCAAATCAATGTCACAGAACAAGCGACATCGGTTACTAATTAAGAGACATGTTTACCTATCAAATTTACATTGGTACGTGTGCATATTGTATAAACGATTATATTGTGTACAACTAGTGAGGGATTCGTGTAGATGACAATTGATGCTGATGAAGAGAGATATATTGAACATTAGACCAAGAAAACTGCAAGTTAAGATAACGGTTTTCAAAGAAGTTTTACACTAAAATTCCTATTTTGAATTATTATTTGTTAATATTGAACAGTCGTATGTATTTACCACTAATATTTTTATTAGTGGTTATTGTAATTGTTACTATCTGTGCTGTTAATTACATGTAATTTACGGTATAATTTTATTAATTTCATTTTTAATATTACCGCAAATGAATTTTTATACGTTTGCTTTTTGTTCTGTTCATTCTTCTATTGTGTGAAAGGTAAGGAAGGTCACGGCTTAGAATATAAACCACGTCTTGATATCACGTCAACTATTTTGAAGCAAAAAATAGAGATAATAAATTCATGTGTCACCAATAGGACGATAGTTGTATTAGAATTATATGAAAACTGAAATGTACGGTATATATGGTCTAAACAAAAAGATACTGGAGGTAGACATAAATTCAAAAGTTTGTGGCTGTCAATGACGTATTCGAAAATTTTTGAATAACTTATTACGATTTCTTCGAAGTAGAAGTCTTATTCTTTCTCATATATTAAACAAATTCTAAATTGAAATTCAATTAAGTCAGTAAAAGCGGAGTTTACATTAGGTCCTTTAAATCCTGTTTGACGTATATCTCTGGAAATATCACTTTTAAGATTTTCGGAAGAACATTTTTTTTAATTTTCTTGTAGGTACTTGTCCTTTGTTTCAAACGATACTTCAGATGATATAAATTTGAAAAATCCTCACAATTTACTTGCCTAATCCTTACCGATATAAAAGTACTTCTTTATTTAAAATGGTCCTAGTTGCTGGTTGTTCGTATTTGTTTTGTATTTGTTGAATTGTTTTCTTTAAAAACTTTTTTAATAGGTTTCGTACTTACTGAAAACTTAATTAAAGAAAGGACTAGGAGTTAATTAATTATATGTTTTCTTAATTAATATTTGTATCTGAGTAATAGTGACAATCTCTTTTAATATTTATTTATTGGTTGTCCAAAACTTTTTTGCGCTAACCATATAAATTTATTTGTTTCGTAAAAAGCTAGTGGAATATACATACTAATAAATAGTGTTGGCAGTATAATTGTTATTTTTATTATCATCCTGCTACGGACGTTCTCGTGTAAAGCTTTGATTAGTCGTGTCAGGACACCATGTTGACGTTGTGTTGTGTGATTTGTATCACAATTGTTATTTTCGGAACAGTTTAGTCCTTATCGAATGCAATTTTCTAAAGTTTGGAGTGTTTTATATGCACATTTGAGCGTTAAGTGATAAAATTGAATTAATATTAATTGGTGGTTGTAAAAGCGTGAGGAATGTACCTGAGCTTTCGGGGAAAATTCCATCATAAAAGGTAAGCGTTTGTTAAAGTTTTATTAATCCTTTATAGGAAATTATACTGAAATTGTTTCGACGTACGTAATTGCTTCAGGTAGCAATTCATTAGGAAAGCTTATATTTAGGAGAAATACTTTAAATTTAAAAGTAGGTATTAGTAGATATTTTTAATGACGTAGTTGAGGTATTACACAAAGCGAAGATTTATCAAATTTTATTGTGTAGTTTAAGGGTTCGTATTTTAAAATTTGCATTTTCATAAATTGAAATGTTCTCACTGAATTTCGATAAATATAATACTAATTTTAAATATTCTCAGTTAATTTAGTAATGGAGTTTTCTTTATTTATTCATACACCCAGATTCGACAGGACTTTTCTGGAAAATCCTTGCACCAGTCGAAGTATATCTTAAACTGCGCAAAGAATAGTATAAATTTAAATTAAAGTTGAAGTTCTCTTCGTGTATTTAGATGTGCATTAAAATTTGTTTAGAAAATGTAATATACTATTGGGTTGTTCGGAAAGTCATTTCGTTTTTTACCTACAGAGGATTTAATTGTATTCTTTTGCACCCAACTTCACATTTAAGCCGTATAATTTTTATATGCTTTGAGAGCTCATATAGCAAGGCTTGTGTGTGAAAAATTCCAATTAATTCTACGCAGTAGTTTTTGGTTGGTGCCCTTTTAAATATGGAGAGCGATAAGCAGCATTTTCGACATATCTTACTGTTTTACTACAGAAAGGGTAAAAATGCTGTT